TCAGGTTATGAACATGGTTTTCCATTTTTTAAGGCGGAATCTTGATTCATTTTACCTGAAATAAGACCCAGGTAACAACAAGACAGACATCCACTGGTTCTTGGAACAAACCCTATTGACTCGACGATTGACCGGATGCTATAAGACCAAAGTCTGGTTCCACTGGGGATTGAACCCAGGACCTTCTGCGTGTAAAGCAGAGGTGATCACCACTACACTATGGAACCTCTGTAATATTACATTTCCTAATCAAACCTTTAACACATGGTAGAATATAAATGACTAGCATAAAATACTACTAGTGATGGCAGCCAATAGGATAAAGCTTTGGTTCCACTGGGGATTGAACCCAGGACCTTCTGCTTGTAAAGCAGACTTGATGACTACTATATGGAAACTCTGTGACATTTAAATTGCTAATCAAATATCCAAGACAAGGTAGAATATATATGACTACTATATATAATACTACCAGTGAGGTCAGGTGAGCATAAAGCTTTGGTTCCACTGGGGATTGAACCCAGGACCTTCTGCTTGTAAAGCAGACTTGATGACTACTATATGGAAACTCTGTGACATTTAAATTGCTAATCAAATATCCAAGACAAGGTAGAATATATATGACTACTATATATAATACTACCAGTGAGGTCAGGTGAGCATAAAGCTTTGGTTCCACTGGGGATTGAACCCAGGACCTTCTGCGTGTAAAGCAGACGTAATAACCACTACACTATGGAACCTCTGTCATGTAGACTTTTTAAATGAATGGGGATGCCTCTGGTTCTCACCAAAGTTTATTTTTTACTAAGAATTGTAAGAGTTTGTGGGTTACATTGATGCAAGGTCAGGGTAAGGTTATGAACATGATTTTCCATTTTTTAAGGCGCAATCTTGATTCATTTTACCTGAAATAAGACCCAGGTAACAACAAGACAGACGTCAAGTTCCACTGGGGATTGAACCCAGGACCTTCTGCGTGTAAAGCAGACGTGATAACCACTACACTATGGAACCTCTGTAATATTACATTTCCTAATCAAACCTTTAACACATGGTAGAATATAAATGACTAGCATAAAATACTACTAGTGATGGCAGCCAATAGGATAAAGCTTTGGTTCCACTGGGGATTGAACCCAGGACCTTCTGCGTGTAAAGCAGACTTGATGACTACTATATGGAAACTCTGTGACATTTAAATTGCTAATCAAATATCCAAGACATGGTAGAATATATATGACTACTATAAAAATACTACCAGTGAGGATAAAGCTTTGGTTCCACTGGGGATTGAACCCAGGACCTTCTGCGTGTAAAGCAGACGTGATGACTACTACACTATGGAACCCCTGTGAGAATGTAATTTAACTAATTGCAATATAAACATGGTTCTGAATATAGTTCAGGAGTTAAAAAGCCGCATTCAGAGTCTCAAAAGAAATGTTAGACATACAGTACTTCTGGGGATTGAACCCAGAACCTTCTGTGTGTGAAGCATGACATGATGACTGCTAAATTAATTGCATCATTCATGTCATTCTCTCAAATATGTTGGTGTTTTGGTCACATAAGTCACAGTGGATGTCCAGAGACTGATGTTAGGTTTCATTGTTATTTAGTTCAAGCATTGTTTTAAATCTAATCAACGTTTATTTTTACATTTTGTCTATTTACAGTTGGTAATGATTAATTAGGCACAAAGACTTGTGATTTCCACTTGTTCTTGGAACAAACCCTATTGACTCGACGATTGACCGGATGCTATAAGACCAAAGTCTGGTTCCACTGGGGATTGAACCCAGGACCTTCTGCGTGTAAAGCAGACGTGATAACCACTACACTATGGAACCTCTGTCATGTGGACTTTTTAAATTAATGGGGATGTATCTGGTTCTCTCCAAAGTTAATTTTTTACTAACAATTGTAAGAGTTTGTGGGTTACATTGATGCAAGGTCAGGGTAAGATTATGAACATGGTTTTCCATTTTTTAAGGCGCAATCTTGATTGATTTTACCTGAAATAAGACCCAGGTAACAACAAGACAGACCTCAGGTTCCACTGGGGATTGAACCCAGGTCCTTCTGCGTGTAAAGCAGACGTGATAACCACTACACTATGGAACCTCTGTAATATTACATTTCCTAATCAAACCTTTAACACATGGTAGAATATAAATGACTAGCATACAATACTACTAGTGATGGCAGCCAATAGGATAAAGCACTGGGGATTGAACCCAGGACCTTCTGCGTGTAAAGCAGACGTGATGACTACTACACTATGGAACCCCTGTGAGAATGTAATTTAACTAATTGCAATATAAACATGGTTTTGAATATAGTTCAGGAGTTAAAAAGCCGCATTCAGAGTCTCAAAAGAAATATTAGACATACAGTACTTCTGGGGATTGAACCCAGAACCTTCTGTGTGTGAAGCATGACATGATGACTGCTAAATTAATTGCATCATTCATATCATTCTCTCAAATATGTTGGTGTTTTGGTCACATAAGTCACAGTGGATGTGCAGAGACTGATGTTAGGTTTCATTGTTATTTAGTTCAAGCATTGTTTTAAATCTAATCAACGTTTATTTTTACATTTTCTCTATTTACAGTTGGTAATGATTAATTAGGCAGAAAGACTTGTGATTTCCAATAGGTTCTTGGAACAAACCCTATTGACTCGACGATTGACCGGATGCTATAAGACCAAAGTCTGGTTCCACTGGGGATTGAACCCAGGACCTTCTGCGTGTAAAGCAGACGTGATAACCACTACACTATGGAACCTCTGTCATGTATACTTTTTTAATTAATGCGGATGCCTCTGGTTCTCACCAAAGTTTATTTTTTACTAACAATTGTAAGAGTCTGTGGGTTACATTGATGCAAGGTCAGGGTAAGGTTATGAACATGGTTAGGTTATGAACATGGTTTTCCATTTTTTAAGGCGCAATCTTGAAATAAGACCCAGGTAACAACAAGACAGACGTCAGGTTCCACTGGGGATTGAACCCAGGTCCTTCTGCGTGTAAAGCAGACGTGATAACCACTACACTATGGAACCTCTGTAATATTAAATTTCCTAATCAAACCTTTAACACATGGTAGATTATAAATGAGTAGCATAAAATACTACTAGTGATGGCAGCCAATAGGATAAAGCCATTGTTCCACTGGGGATTGAACCCAGGACCTTCTGCGTGTAAAGCAGACGTGATAACCACTACACTATGGAACCTCTGTAATATTACATTTCCTAATCAAACCTTTAACACATGGTAGAATATAAATGACTAGCATAAAATACTACTAGTGATGACAGCCAATAGGATAAAGCTTTGGTTCCACTGGGGATTGAACCCAGGTCCTTCTGCGCGGGGAGCGCGTATAGTAAGGTCTAACTCTCTTAACTTTACCATTCATTCTCTATGGTAGTTCTTACACTGTGACTGCAATATATTTCTGGCCACAAGCGAGAAATTGGGGGCGCTGTTGCACCCTTTTGGTAGAAGTAAGGAGACCCCGTTTCCAGTGACAGAGAGTGAGGCCCCAGCTCCACGGGAACCCATACGGCAAAACGCATCGGAGTAACGCAAATGCAACGGCAAAAAACCTTCCGCCCACACGCAATATACACCGGATTGTGTCAAGCTCCACGAGACGGCTCCGTTTACATCCAACCGCTGGAAAAGCTGCAGTACATATGCCAAACCTGTACGTGGCGCTGTAACTTCCTCCACAAAAGCAGCAACTTCCTCCACAAAAGCAGCGAAGAAGAATGGTTGTCATGGCTGCACTTCTGTTTATTCTCCGCGGTGGGGGCGGAGGGAACCGCGCAGAGTTTTTCGCCGGTCAATGTGTGTTAAAGTTTAAATCTTCATGCTTCCTCATGCAGCAGCTGATCCAGTAAGTAAACCCGACAGTAAAAACAAACATATTTATAACTAGTTTAGGTAGTTTGAGAGGTAATTAAAATAGCTAAGGGTGATGATCTGACTTGAAGTGTGTGTTTTGCTCCCGCTGCTTCACAGCCGGAGGAGCTGCGTGTCTCCGTCCTGTCAGATTAGACTTCACTCGCGTTTATGTTCATATCGAGATAAAGATAAATAATCTGAATTCAGTGTGCAGTGTACTTTTGCGGGGGTGAGCAGCAGAGGTGGGGAGAGGCGGGGAGAGGCGGGGCTATGAAACGGATGACCGTATAGGCGACCCCACGGCCCCGTTGGACCCCCCAGAGCGCTCCGTTCCCAGATCTATCCACCTTTGGACCCGTTGTCGTTTGCGGGGGTCTGTTTCTACGTTTCTGTTATGGCGTCGTCGAGCTTAAAGGGCTATACGCATGAGAAATATGCGGATTCAACCCGTTTTCGTCCTCGTGGAGCCTAGGCCTGAGAGACAGAGCAACAGCAGCAGCATCTTGCAGACAACGACACAATTCGACTTCTAACATCACGTCAAACTTATCAAACGTAAGTGGGGCTTATTTTTCTATGACTGAATTAACACTTATCATATTGTTACACTGTTTTTGCAATAGTTGTTAGTTGTTTGTTTGTTTGTCTTTAACTCTGTGTGTCTGAGGTACTGTAACTTTTGTTAGCTAACGTTACACTAACGTCATGTATTTACAGTAAATGTCAGCGTTAACAGCAGCTGATTTATTACTCATTACACATGGCAAAAGAGCTGTCAAATGTGTTTTACAGGTGTATCTTGTTAACACTGATCCAAAATACTGCATTATTATTGCTGCAGTTCTTAATCGGGTAAATACTACAGTATTCAGTCTTAAAACTCTTTTTTTGCAATCTTCTATTGTACTTTTGTTATTATTTTATGGCTAACGATGTTACCCATCTGCTTTTCAGTCTGTCTGTTCATGTAATAGAGAAGTTGTTACCTAGTCATTACAAATCCCAATTAATGTAAACATGAAATAAAGTGAGTTCACTCACATTGACAGTGCAATACATAACACATCTTCCTGCCCACCTGCCCCTCTGTTTGTTTGTTTGTTTGTTTGTCTACCTGTCTGATCATGTAATATAAATGTGTTACCTATACAAATCCTGGTTAACGTGAATGAATGAAATGAATAACTCTGCTAATATAACAGTATGATGATTTTTGCACTTCTTAATATATATACTTTGCATTGTGTTTTTCTGTGTGCAGGAGATAATGAAGAAAACCATATTCTTCCCAGGAAAGATGAGAGTGTCTTTCAGGAAGGGTCCATCTGGCCACCTGAGACAGGACCCTTCAGAGGAGGGTATGAGAATAAAAAAAAATCCTTCCCTTCAGGACAAGTCTGCCGCTCAGAAGCATGAGCATGTGAGGACAAATGCTCTCACTGAGGTCCTTCAAAGGGGAGGGGATGTATCTGACCGACTCAAGGTGATGGGGGAGTACGTGCTACAGTTCGGAAAGTATAAGGGGAAACTGTACAGGTGGCTCCTTGAGAATGACGTCGGCTACACCCTCTACCTGATGGACAAGGTGGACGAGGAGGGGAGAGGTGGGACCTTCAACCCCCAAGGGCCTAGCAAGGACAGCCTGCTGTCGTTTCTGGACTACGCCAGGAGCTTCCAGGAAATTAAGGATCTGAGGAAGTACCTGTGCTCCAGGAAGCCTGCCCCACCAGTGGCGTCAGAGGGGGAACATACTGTCGGCTTTGGAGCCAGGGCCAAAGACACCTGGAAGCAGATCTGGGATAGCAGGGCTGATGGTTATGCTGCCTTCGTTTTAGGAGTGAAGTGCATCACTAACAGCAAGATGTACAACCTTCAGCAGTACATCCTCAAGCAGCAGAGGGCTGAGCCCTGTCCACCACCTGCTGAAGGCTGCATTGCATCAGCTAGCTCCACTCTGACATCCAGCACTCCAGGTCAGCTCACAGTAATATGCAAATACTGCTTTAAGGTGAACATGACATTGACATAATAAATGTTATTGTTTAATCTCCTAGTGATGGAGGAGGACGAGGAACTGGAGAGGGCGATGTTGAATCTGTCTCCTTCAAAACTCTACACTGAACGAAGTAGGTGGATCCAGTTAGATATACAGTGATTATATAAACTTACTGTACATGTTAAAACTTTGTTCATTGTCACCTGTGCTTTATAGGGCCACCAGCAGCAGTCTCCAGAGCCCCGGCTGTGTCTACACCAACAGGTTTTTCTCCAGCAGTGTGGAGGGATAACTCTGTGTTCAACAGATTTCCCTGCCATTACTATTCTCAACTAGTTTGTTATTTTGGCCGTGTTCTGGTCTGTTCTGATGCTTGTGTTATTCTGTTCTCCAACTAACTGAAGGAATTAACATGTCAGCAATGATAGTAAGTGTTTTTCCTTTTTTGCATGCTTTTTTTAGACTGTCATACAAGGATTTGGCATTTTAAATATTGGCTTAGGAAACGTAGCTTCTTACCCTCTAAGATATCATGCCACACCTTTGAATGAAAGATGTGCTTGCTATATATGTATGCTGTTTCTCTGCTTTACCAGTTTCCAAACACATATAGACATTATGTTTTTCTATTTCAAATAATTGGGATTCACAAGTTAATACAACGGGGTATTTTAATTCTGTTAAAGAGACAACAGGTAAAGACAGATTGTGAAGCTTGAAACAACTTAACACTTGAGGAACATGACACAGCATTGTTTCTACAGCCCACAGGACTTATCCAACTGCCACAGCCACTGTGTCCAGACCCGATGGACCTGCTCCTCTGAAAGGTTATTGGGTTTTTATACTCCTCACTTGGATCCATCTTGAATCTTTTTCATACATATTATGTATATATACCCTCATGTTTGCCTTTCATCCTTCAGCCACAGTGAAGGCACCGCTGCCGGTCCCTCCTCAGCTGCTCGCCATTGCCCCAAAGCTCGGGATAGAAGAGCAGGCGCCAAATGTGTTGAGACAAAGTATGTGTTCTTCTTATACTACCAGTGTATCTCACAAAAACTTCAATTTCATTCTGACAAACTACATTGTCACGGTGTCATACAGTATAGTGCTCAGGTAAAGTTAAGTAATGATATCATCGTCTCTGTTTTCATTTTTCACACCTTCTTAAATGCTGCTTCTGAATTTCGATGTATAATGTGTATACATCACTTGCCTGTTTGTATCTCATCATCCCAGATTCATCACCACATAATATGGCCCCTGTGGAAGCGCAGGGAGACACTGTCCTCGATGAAGGTATGGATATCTGTGACACTGTATTATAGCAGTCATTTATATAGAGCTTTATTCAATTGTATCTGATGTAACTGGTGTTTTACTGTGTTTTACAGCTCTGACTTGCCCAGGGAAGTATATCTACTGCCCCTCCAGAGTCTTCTCCTTATATAATGCACAGGGCATGGAGCAGGAGATGACGTGGCCGGAGTTCCAGCAGTCGGACTTCTATGATGCTGAAAGGGACAGATGGATTGCAGACAAAAGGAAGCCCTAACCTACCCTCACATACACACAGGCACGCCACTTCCTGGGTCTACTAAGTTGCATACTAACTTAACATACAAACTAAGACGTTTTGCCTGCAACAAAAGCGAGACCCCTAAACTATCAGCCTTTTCCTCAGTCCTGACAATCCTGCCAATAACAAAACAGTTTTGGTTAATGCCCTCAAAAAACTCAATTCATAATAAAGAATAATAATCATTTCAGGGATTTCTATAGGTCCTCCACTCCAACCTTGTCTGTGCTGGGGCCTTAAACATGTAATGTATTTAAATGTTGCACTAGAATATTATATACTATACTAGAATAAATAAATGAACAATAATTGCACTAGAATAAATATAATTATTGCACTAGAATAAATTAAAAAACAAATACCAAGTAAGAGGGTATAAATCACTAAAATGAGAATAGAATGCAGAATAGAAACCATACAAGAACATGAGGTGAAAAACATTTCAGATAATGGATGGTGGTGAGATCAAATACATCTATAACAAAACAATACACTATCTTAGACTAAATTATAATATTATAATAAATATAAAGGTGCAATATAACCTATCATATAGTACAAAGAATATAATATAGTTCAATCCTTTTTTCAGGATATGATTGTTCTCTCTGTATTATGTTTTCAGTGTTTTTTATATATTTGTAGTTCTATTTGTAATATTTCTGTTTTTGAATAAATGATCTTGAATGCATCACTGTGACTGTCTTTACTTGATAGAGGAAGTAATAGTGATAGAAATGAAACAATGAAGCACACTCATATGCTCAATGTAAACATCTGTACAATCAACATATTTAAAATATTAATTATAAGTAAAAATACAAAGATATTATATAAAACATTAGTATTACTAACATTATGATATCATTATTTGTGTTATTATTGTTATGATTGCTATATATTAATATTAAAATAACTATTATAAGAAGCAGCAAGGAAAGAATAATTCATTTCTAACTCCAAATATCAGTTTCAACTCTAACTTTAAACGTTTGAAAAGATAAATGTAGTGTTTGTGTATAATGAGCAACATTTTGAAACTGAATGTGGGAAATTTTGTTTGGGTCAGGTGGGTTTCGAACCGTCGTTCTTTTGAAAAGGCTTCTGGCCAATAGAAAGTCTTCTATGGGTATACACGGCTTACCTTCGTGTGTAAAGCAGACATGATAACCACTACACTATGGAACTTCTGTCATGTACACTTTTTAAATTAATGGGGATGTATCTGGTTCTCACCAAAGTTTATTTTTTACTAACAATTGTAAGAGTTTCTAGGTTACATTGATGCAAGGTCAGAGTAAGGTTATGAACATGATTTTCCATTTTTTAAGGCGCAATCTTGATTCATTTTACCTGAAATAAGACCCAGGTAACAACAAGACAGACGTCAGGTTCCACTGGGGATTGAACCCAGGACCTTCTGCGTGTAAAGCAGACGTGATAACCACTACACTATGGAACCTCTGTAAAACTAAGTGTCCTAATCAAACCTTTAACACATGATAGAATATAAATGACTAGCATAAAATACTACTAGTGATGGCAGCCAATAGGATAAAGCTTTGGTTCCACTGGGGATTGAACCCAGGACCTTCTGCGTGTAAAGCAGACGTGATGACTACTACACTATGGAACCCCTGTGAGAATGTAATTTAACTAATTGCAATATAAACATGGTTCTGAATATAGTTCAGGAGTTAAAAAGCCGCATTCAGAGTCTCAAAAGAAATATTAGACATACAGTACTTCTGGGGATTGAACCCAGAACCTTCTGTGTGTGAAGCATGACATGATGACTGCTAAATTAATTGCATGATTCATGTCATTCTCTCAAATATGTTGGTGTTTTGGTCACATAAGTCACAGTGGATGTCCAGAGACTGATGTTAGGTTTCATTGTTATTTAGTTCAAGCATTGTTTTAAATCTAATCAACGTTTATTTTTACATTTTCTCTATTTACAGTTGGTAATGATTAATTAGGTACAAAGACTTGTGATTTCCACTGGTTCTAAGAACAAACCCTATTGACTCGACGATTGACCGGATGCTATAAGACCAAAGTCTGGTTCCACTGGGGATTGAACCCAGGACCTTCTGCGTGTAAAGCAGACGTGATAACCACTACACTATGGAACCTCTGTCATGTACACTTTTTAAATTAATAGGGATGTGTCTGGATCTCACCAAAGTTTATTTTTTACTAACAATTGTAAGAGTTTCTAGGTTACATTGATGCAAGGTCAGAGTAAGGTTATGAACATGGTTTTCCATTTTTTAAGGCGCAATCTTGATTCATTTTACCTGAAATAAGACCCAGGTAACAACAAGACAGACGTCAGGTTCCACTGGGGATTGAACCCAGGAGCTTCTGCGTGTAAAGCAGACCTGATAACCACTACACTATAGAACCTCTGTAATATTAAATGTCCTAATCAAACCTTTAACACATGGTAGAATATAAATGACTAGCATAAAATCCTACTAGTGATGGCAGCCAATAGGATAAAGCTTTGGTTCCACTGGGGATTGAACCCAGGT